AAGGAGAAAGAGGACAGCACGATTCTGATTTTGCCGCTGATGATTATGCTCATTATGTTGATGATGAGGGCGACGATGATGATGCTGATGCTGATGACGATTGCGATGGCGCCGAGTCTGATGCTGAGGATGATGATGCTGATGGTGATGACGATGGCGATGGTGATACTGATGATGCTTTCGATGATACTTATGACTATGAAGTTGATGATGATGTTGATGACTCTGATGATGATGAGGGTGTTGACCTGCGGCGAGGAGGACTATGTTGACGATGCTGATGCTGATGCTGAATATGGCGGCGATGATCACGATTGTAATGATCGCAACGCTGACGACGAGGATGATGATGCTGATGATGCTGATGATGATGTTAATGCAGACAGCGCCTCCGATGATGATGCTGATGACGATGACGATGATGATGATGACGATGATGATGATGATGATGATGATGATGATGATGTTGATGTTGATGATGCTGATACTGATGCTGATGCTGATGTTGACGATGATGCTGTACATGGTGATTGTACTGATGATGCTGCTGATGATGACGATACTGCTGATGATGATGATGCTGATGATCATAATGATGATGATGTTGATGATGCTGATTATGATGATGATGATGATGCTGCTGATGATGATGCTGATGCTGCTGATGATGATGGTGGTGAGGATGATGGTGCTCATGGCAATGATGCTACTGATGATGCTGATGCTGATGACGATACTGATGATTGACACCCATGATGCTGCTACTGATGATGGTGCTCATGCTGATGCTGATGATGATGATGATGATGATGATGATGATGATGACGATGATGATGTTTACGATGACGATGATGCTGGTGTTGACGATGACGATGACGATGATGACGATGATGCTGCTGCTGATGATCATGCTGATTATACTGATTATGAGGATGATGATGCTGCTGCTGCTGCTGCTGATGATGATTGACACCGATGATGCTGCTGCTGATGATGGCGCTCATGCTGCTGCTGCTGCTGATGATGATGATGCTGATTCTGATGATGATGCTGCTGCTGATGATGATGATGATGATGGCTATTCTCATTATTAGTATTAGTATCATTCCTATTGTTGGGATGACGATGGTAATATTGCAGGCAATTACTCGGACCAGGAAGAGGATACTCACGATTAGCATGACAACGCTGGTGACGCGGTTGTTGTCTGTGATGATGGTGGGGAGGAGGATGAGGAAGAGCGGGATGAGGAAGACGAGGCGGACCGACAGTTCAGATGATGATGAGGAGGGAGCGGAGGACGAGGCGGAGGAGGAGGAGGAGGAGGAGGATGATGAGGATGATGAGGAGGAGAATAACCAGCAGCAGCAGGAGGACACGTTCTGCACAGGTGCCAGCCAGGCCATCGCAAGCTCTTGGCACTTCACAATTCTTGGAACGCTTAGTGCCGAGACTTGTCAACCTGTCGCATCGCAGTGCTTGGCCTTTCGCATCTTCAGACGGTCTGCCCTCGGTGAGGGCACGGAGGTGGAGGCTTGTGGCTATGCGGGAGGGGGGTGGAGGAGACCACATGATTTTTGTGTCTGCCTCGCCTGCCTGCCTGCACACAAGCAGTAGTGCACCAGTTTAAGCATCGATCCATCGTGACAATTATGTCACAATTTGGTGCCAAGCAGGCCAGCGTGTGAAAACTGTGCAAGTATTCCAACGCATTTGCAGATGTTAATCGGTAAATACATGTCTGCGCATATATGGACATAGTATAGATATGTGCAGGTATGTATGTACGTAAACATGTGTTGATGTATGTATGTAAGTGTGTATGTACGTATGCATGCATGCATGGACATGTGTGTGTGCATGTATGTATGTATGTGTGGATGTAGGTATGTATGCCCGTAAGTATGTATGTATACCTACATACATACCTACATGCTTATGTATATGTGTGTTTACACATGTTTATGCCTCCGTGTGTACGTACACGTATGTATGGGTGTTTGTGTGTGTATTTACGTATGTATGTATGCATCCGTAAAGGAACATATGTATGTTTGTACGCATGAATGCATGCATCTATGTATGCACGTACGCTCGCACGCACGCACGCACGCACGCACGCATATATGTATGTGTGGATGCATATATGTATGTATGTATGTATGTATGTATGTATTTATGTATGTATGTGTTTATGTATGTGTGTCTGTCTGTCTGTCGTCTGTCTGTCTGTCTGTCTGTCTGTCTGTCTGTCTGTCTGTCTGTCTGTCTGTCTGTCTGTCTGTCTGTCTGTCTGTATGTCGGTAGGTATGTCTGTATGTATACATGTGTACATGTATGCATGTATGTATGGATGTGTGCATGTGTGTATGTATGAATGTGTGAATTTTGTATGTATGTATGTATGTATGTCTGTATGTATGCATGTAAACTTATGCATGCATGCATGCATGCATGCATGCATGCCTGTATTGACGTATGTATGTATGTATGTGCAGATACATGTATGTGTGCATGCTTGCATGCATGTATATGTATATGTATAGGTATATGTATATGTATATGTATATGTATATGTATATGTATATGTGTATGTATGTATGTATGTATGTATGTATGTATGTATGTATGTATGCATGTATGTATGTATGTATGTATGTATGTATGTATGTATGTATTGCTAAGGCCTTACGGCCGGTGTCGCCGTCCCTGGAGGCCTCAGCCCTGCCGGGACGCCCCGGGAGGGTGGTATTCACATCCGGGAGCACCCCCGGGTAGCCCCCCCCAGGACCACCCCCCCTCCGTGGAGAAGGGATAAAAGGGAACGGGCTTCCTTTATTTCGCTGTGGATGGGCTGGTGTACGCTTTGGCTGGCGTGCTTGAGGACGAGGGCCCAAGGAAAGGGGGGGAGCGGGGACGGACAAAGGGGAAGGAGGGGACGTGATGGCGGCGGCGATGCGACGGCGGCAGCGACGGCGATGGCGACGGAACAGTCCCTGTCACACGCCGACAGGGTCGGCGGATTTATGTATGTATGTATGTATGCACGTATTCACGTATGCATGTATGTATGTATGCATGTATGCATGTATGCATGTATGCATGTATGCATGTATGCATGCATGCATGTATGCATGTATGTATGTATGTATGTATGCATGCATGTATGTATGTATGGAGGTATGTGTGTATGTATGCATGCATGTATGTCTGTAGGTATGTGTGTATGCATGTATGCATGCATGTATGTACGTATGTATGTTTGTATGCATGTATGTATGTATGCATGTAGTCATGTGTGCATGCATGTATGCATGTATGCGTGTATGCGTGTATATAAGTATGTATGTATGTATGCATGCATGCATGCATGTATGCATGTATGTATGTACATGTATGTATGTATGTGTGTATGTACGTACGTACGTACGTACGTACGTACGTACGTATGTATGTATGTATGTATGTATGTATGTATGTATGTGTGTGCATGCCCGCATGCACGCATGAATGTGTGTATGCACGAATGCACATGTGTATGTACGTATGTACGTACGCATGCACGCATGTATGTACGCCTGTATATATGTATGTATGCATGCATGTATGTATGTAATTATGTATGTTTGCATACACGTATGCATGTATGCATGTATGCATGTGTGTATGTATGTATATATATGCATACATGCATGCATGCATGCATTCATTGATTGTGTATGCCTGTATGTATGCATGTATGTATCTATGCATGTCTGTCTGTATGTATTGTTGTATGCACATATATGTATGTATATATGCAGGTATGTATTCATGCATGCATGCATGCATGCATGTATATATGCATGTATGTATGTATGTATTTATGTGGGTGTGTATGTATGCATGTATATACGTGTATGTATGTATGTATGTATGCATGTATGTAGGTATGTATGTATGTATGTACGTATGTATATATTTGTATGCATGTATATGTATATGTATATGTATATGTATATGTATATGTATGTATGTATGTATGTATGTATGCATGTATGTATGTATGTATGTATGCATGTATGTATGTATGTATGTATGCATGCATGTATGTATATATGTATGTATGTATGCATGTATAATGGTATATACATTTGTTTGTTTAGGTATTTGTATACACATGTATGTATGTATATATGTATGCATGCATATAAGTATGTGTGTGTATGTCTGTATGCGTCTGCATGTATGTATGTATGCATGTAATGGATGTATGTATGCACATCTGTACACTGCTATCTTCGTTGCATGTGTCGATGCGGTGGAGGGCGAGGACAGGCGACATCAGACAAGACAGTAGGAGGATGCGATTAACGAGGCCCCTGTGAGTGTCCCAATAGGCTCCCGCGATGAGCCGCACTTGATAGTGGGGAGGGTCGGACTTGCGGACGGAGATGGGGAGGGGTGGGAGAGAAACACCTTGCCGACGACCGCAGATCTAATACTCTATGCCCTCTCGGGCTTCTCTACCTTTCTGTGTCTCTTTGAACCTCTCCTCTTAGTCTGCATTCAGATGATTTTACTGATTGCCGCACCCTCTGACTTCTTAGCAGAGGGAAACGCAACAGCCTCGTCGCTCATGTTTGCCTAGCGTAAAACGGAAGAGGAGAAGGAGGATGAGGAGCAGGCGGAGGAGGAAGAGGAGGAGGAGCGGGAGGGCCTCGACCCCCTCCCCGCGGTGGGCTCTTGGGCGCTCGCCGCTGAGGACGCGACGGAAGGTGCCATCAGGAGGGGTCGGATCCTCGAGGGCTTGAAAACTTTTCGCTAGCCGGCTGCGGGGATCGAACCATACAACTTGAGGTATATCCACACACGTCTAAGTATGTCTATGCACATCGACGTAAGTCCAGAGGTCTCCAAGGGTGTCGGAGCGGATCGTGGAGGCAGTGCGAGCCGCGACACATCAGAAGTTGTTGAGCACTCAGCGGGAGGAGGTGGGCCCTTGGGGCGCCAGCCCGCAGGCTTTGGAGCTGCTCACGGAGATGCGGCAGGACCCTCGTAGCGATCATCGGGCGAGCGACGACGGTGGCGGCAACGGCGCCCACGACGGCGTTAGCCTCGACGGCGACTACGACGGCGACGGCGATCGCGACGACCAGGGCGACGGCGACGACGCGGTCGGCGACCACGGTGGTCTCCACTTCCTGCGCGGCGCGCGCGCGTGCGCGCACGGCGTGCGCGCGAGGGTGCAGTCGGGCGTACGAGAGCGCGCGTCTTTGAGCCAGGCGTGTCTTGCGCAGCCACAGGCTACGGGCGCAGAGGTTAGCCTCTTGGCGTTTGGGACGGCCGCGCAAGCGCAAGCACATCCCTTTGTTGGAAGACAGAGGTCGCCGCGCGCGGACATTCGGCCGCGACGGGCCACGCGTGCACCGCCGCAGCACAACGTGATCCAGCCAGATCTCATACACGAGCGAAAACCGCAGAGGCCGACGACATCGAGTGCACGCGCGCGACACGAGAAGGGAAGGCACTGCAGGATATTTTCCCTGATGAGCGCGCGGCGCCTCAAGGCTCTTCGCCGACCTTGGCCCAGATCCTCAGGCCTCCACGAGACTGCGATCTCGGGACGGCCATCACACATTTCCTGCCCGCAGGTCCCCCTCATTGTGCTGACCCATCCTTTACCGCAGCCATTCGGGCTCTAACCGTCTCGAATGAAACCAACCGTCTCACGCCGTTTCGGCTTAGGCCGTTTCGTCTACAGCCAGGTGTTACGCCATGCTTTGTAGATGATAGGCGTCCTGTGAGGGCCTCGAGGCTGCGCTGCTCCCTTGGAGGTGGCAACCAATACGTGTCATACATCTGTAGGCATAAACATTGAACTATTTGTAAACACGTACATACAGGTGGAGACCCATGCCAAGAAACACCCTGCCTGCCTCCAGGGTGCACTGGGTTTCTTGGGCTTCGATGGTTCTGCCATGGAGAGCGTGACGTTCCCACACCGTAGATCCGGGGACGTCCTAGGGTCTCAGGGCCGGGTTTCTTGTGGCAGGCTTCTCGTGGTCGGGCCCCTTTCTGTCCATCTGCAGGAATAGATATTGAACTACTGCGAAGGCCTTACGGCCAGTGCCGCCGACCCTGAGAACGACGAAGATGAACACGAGGGGGGTAGGGGGAGGAGGATCAGTGGGAGGTGGGGGAAGGGTGGGGAAGGTGGATGAGGGAGGAGGAGGGGGGAGAAGGATGCGGAGGAGAAGCAAGAGGAGGAGATTGAACTATTCTGTACACGTGTGCACGCATGTGTGAGCAGGGCCGCACCCCGAAGTGCTTCAGCAAGACTGCTGGCTTCGGGCTGGTTTCGGCCTTCGCGCGCGCGCGGGGCGGCGCGCGCGCGCGGCCAGCACCAGCGCTGTCTGACAAGGGGGGCTCGTTCCCCTCGGAGGCGAGACGGCCCGTGCCCCCCCGCCTCTCGGAGTCGCCTTCCCCCCCCCCAGACCCTGGCGCGGACGTGCGCCAGCTGGGGTCTCGAGGCGACTCCGGCCGGGGCAGCGGGAGGCCTCCAGGACGTCGGGAAGAGGGCGGAGGCACGAGCCTTCGGTGGACCCCGCAGGCGGGCGGCCACGCGGCGGCGACGCGGCGGCGGCCTCGTCGAGCCCTCCCCCCCCGTTGGGCGGCCGCGAGGGGCGGCCGCGAGGCGGCCACGGGCGGCGACGCGGCGACGTCGGCGGAGCCGTTCCATTGCCGAGGGGCGGAAGTCCCCCTCCTCCTGCTCCTCCTCCTCCTCCTCCTCCTCCTCCTCCTCTCGTCCTCCTCCTCCTCTCGTCCTCCTCCTCTCGTCGTCGTCCTCCTCCTCCTCCTCCGATCCCCCAAATGCAGGCAGTGCTTGCTGAAGCTCTGGATCTCGAGGTCGGCGTCCTTGGCCTCTGGGGCCCAGCGCAGGGAGGCCGTCTGCGCGCGCCCGCTGGGGCCGCCGCCGGGCTGGCCCTGGGGCGGCAAGGGGAGCTGACGCCTCCATCCCCGAGCCCCAGGCGGTGCTGGGCGAGCTCAGCCCTTATCGCTGTCATCGTCGTCCTCGTCGCTCAGGGTTGGAACAGGTACCAACACCGCTGCCCTGGCCTCGTTTTCGCCTTTCTTGCCCTCCTGGGATGCCCTCTTCGCCACGGCTGGATTCGAATCGAAATTCTGGTCAGAACGCACCCTGGGAGAGGTCCAGGCAGTAGCAGTGACAAGGACCTAGTACTTATAGGACCTCAGTACTACCTCAGTACTCAAAGGACCGTCGCCGTTGCCGCAGGTGGAGGAGAAGAGGAGGAGGAGGAGAATGAGGAGGAGGATGACGAGGCATGGGGGGCAGGAGTATAAGGAGGAGCAGAAGGAGCAGGAGCAGGAGCATGAGCAGGAGCAGCAGGACGAGGAGGAGTAGGAGGAGGAGGAGGAGGAGGAGGAGGAGGAGGAGGAGGAGGAGGAGGAGGTCGGCGCTCGATCCCCGATCCTCGGGCGCAGAAATCCATCGAGCCCAACGTGGCAGTATACACCGCGCTGATCAGCGCCTGCGACAAGGGCAAGCAGCCCGAGAGGTCGCGATGCGCCTCTTTCCCTGCCGTGTGCCTCCCTCTTCGCGCCGCCGCCGCCGTTGCTGTCGCTTTCGCCGTCGCCGTCGCCGTCGCCGTCGCCGCCGCCGCCCCCGCCGCCGCCGCCGTCGTCGTCGTCGTCGTCGTCGTCGTCGTCGTCGTCGTCGTCGTCGTCGTCGTCGTCGTCGTCATCGTCGTCGTCGTCTTCGTCGTCGTCGTCGTCGTCGTCATCGTCGTCGTCGTCATCGGAAGCGTTGGGACAGGATATGCTCAGAGAGAGTATTCACGTGGTCTGGCTCAATTTTTTCAAGATGTGGACCAGGCAGGATCGCTTGACAATTTTACAATTTCGGAGCATTGCGTACTTACGGCGATCGGAACGACATCATGGTCAGCAATGTCATGGGACATGCTTCCATTCGTGGCGTTACGACCACCAGTTCTCCAACGTTTGAGTGACGATTTGCAGAGTTTGGCAATTGATCAACAGCGATGGGCAGATCTCAGGTATTATTGTCTGTGACAAGTTCTGACTTCAGCTCCAGGCCAGCGCGCCTGGCCCGCATGCGGGTTTCCGCAAGCCCCAGGGTAAGCAGAGTCACGAACGAACGAACGTCGTCGTCGTCGTCGTCGTCGGAGGAGGAGGAGGAGGAGGATGTACCGAAAGAGAAGGAGGATGCTGAGGAGGGGGATGAAACGAACGGAGGGAGAGGAACACGACGACGGAGGTGGAGGGAGCGAAGGGGGAACGAGGGAGAAGGGGGGGGAGGAGGGGGACGGGGAATGACGGGGACGGGCGGGGGAGTGGGAGGAGGGAGAGGCGGGAGAGATGATGGGGAGATGCAGAGAGGAAATGGATGAGAGGGGGAGTGGATGTGGACAAGCTAGGTGCGCTCGCGCTAGATCTGACATCCGCCCTATCCCGCCCATCACTTCCTATTCCACTGCGTTGCGTTACATCCGCGAGCTGGAGTGTCCTAGATGACTTTCATCCCCAATCTCACTCCATTGTGTGATACCCCATCGAAGCGGGGGGCTTTCTTTGTTGGGCGAGGAGTTGATGGAAGAGTAGGATGATGTGCAGGAGAAGCAGCAGGATGATGAGGGAGGAGGAGTATCTTTATATTAGATTAGACGATGTGCTGCGCGCGGCTCCATACTATCACACCTGAGAAGTGATTTCCCTGGCCAGCTTCGTGTGGCCAGGGGCAATTCCCTTCTCGAGGGTCTTGATATAGGCAAGTCCCGTCCATGTGGGCGGCTGACACTCCTGCACCAGCTTCCCACTACGCCTGTAGTGGTAAGTCCCAAGACAACCACAAGTCGAGCAGGCGAACATCAGTTCCTTCCGAGAGCCCACTCCCATCGTGTGCAAAGCGCGCGCAGTCAGGCCATGACGAGTCGGAGCATCAACTCGCGGGGCCTGGCTGGTGGGGTTGACAACGACAGGAGCCAGGCAGGGCTCTCGAACCCACTTAATTATGGCACCCTTGGACCTCTTACTTGGTTCAGAACCGCACACACCTCAGTGCCAACGACGACCAACTTCATCGGGTCCAAGGAAATGCTTGGTGTCTGCCAATGCTCGCTCCATGTCCAGCTTGGGTCGGGAGGACCCCAGAGCCGTGCTCATCTCGGACCATGGGCAATTCGCGGGCATCTCTGCCAACATGGCGACAAGGCGGTGGCGGCGGATGTCCTTCGAGTCAACCTCCAGCTCACGCAATGCTTCGGAAAGACCTGGCGGGACTTGCGCCTCAGGCGACAGTTTCTCAGCACGTTTGTCGGCAAACCCGTTGAAAGCGAAAAGGGCCCTCACCTCAGGTGAGGCTCGCTCAACATAGATCACTTCAACATCCCTACCCAGGGATGTTCCAAAGGTCCTTATTTCTCCTAGGCTTCCAGCACGCTTTGGCCCGCAGCCTGAAACGACCTTTCTAGACATACACAGCCGTGACAAAAGTTTCTTCAATTTGCTATGATGAACATTTCTCCCATCCCTCCCAAGATTCCTAACATGACAAGATGCTAGGGTCATTCTGCGGAGTAGTTTTTTCGATCCCGGAGACGTTAATAACTCTGTCACCTCAAAACGTGATCGGAAACGACTCCGCGCCAAATCATTTAATTACCGAGCGGGATGCGATTGCGCGCAGAGTAGTTTTAGTAGAACCACTCCGAGTTACTCCGCACGAGCGCGTCATTTCAAAAGGCAAATTGGAAGAAACTTTCGTCACGGCGATGTACGCACTGCCGGTGAAGTATGTGAGGCTTCTACCCTGGGTGGCGAGAACCGCTTTTTTGAAGCGAACAACTCGGACCCGTTACTGCTTGCGTGGGCACTGGGACAGCACTTCCAAAACCGCCAGACTTTGGATGAGCGCCCCAGGGTCCCGAGGGTCAGATCCCGAATCGACGTGAGGGGGTGAGGAGAAACCCCAGGCGGGGGAGGAGGAGTCACAGGTAAGGCCGGTTCTAGCCTGACAGTTAAATCATCAGGCGGCTGGGGATGGAATTCCGAATCTTAGGAATGATACCTCGCAGCCAGTGGCAGGGGTACTCATCAGCGCCCGCTACAGCCTACTCTCTTAAATGCTGGGTGGCTTGTCAACGGGCTATTCTCGTTCGCTGGGTATTTCCAGCAGCGGTGAAGGTCGGTCTCAGGCTCACGGTAACAACTCTGGCACAGGTTTGACTCGACCTCACCTCCGCTTGGAACAACCGATCTGTCGGCCAGAAGCCTGCAGCTGCGACAGTACACTGGCCTGCCCTATACTATTCGTACCTTTCTTGGCCATGGCTTGCTGGGCTTTGAGTATGTCAGAAGTTTCGGCACCATGCCCTAAGCCTCGACCGTTATGATGCTTAGACGCGACCCTCCAGGCCGAACGCCTCAACGTCCCACGAAACATCTCCAGGAAGGGCTCCCGATCGGGGTCAACGTCGAGAATATCGTCCGCCACAGCGCAGCTGTCGCCATTCGGGTGGCTCCAGCCCCAAGGCCCGTGGGGGGTCCATCCCGCGGACAGAAGCACAGACATCGTTCCCGCCATCACGCCATGAGCCCTCCCCCAGCGCTGGTTCGCATCCGAGGCGCACACCGATGGCAGCACGAGGGGCCGCGCCCTTCGGCGCTCGACGGCGGAGCGGGCCAGAAGAGGACCTGAGCTCGAGCCAGAGACCTGCCGGTGCCCCTGGGCAACGCAACAGCAGGGCGCTGATCACCATGGTCGAGGTGCAAGGCAGTGGTGCAGCAACGGCCCCATAGCTCTAGGCGTGGCGAACTTGCCCAGGGACCGTCGCAGATCATTCACTGGGTGTTGGGCTAGTGGGATCACCTTGGGCCGATAGGCGCTGCGCGGCATGATGCCTGTCGTGGCCACTCAGCTCGCAGCGCGGGCGCCAGTCGTGCCCTTGGCAAGCTTGCGGAGCTTGGCGGCTTGTCATTCAGTCAGCTTCTTCCTGGCACGATGCTTGGTGGGCTTCTGGAGTCTCCTGGGGCCCCTCTCAATACCCAGGTCCGCCGCGGCCCCTTGGTTTCTAACCTGGAGGCCCGCAGCGCGGAGGGAGACTGTGATCTCCGCCGCCAACATTCGGCCAGTGGCGATCGCAGCTGACTTGTCTGACGGGACTAGCCCGTCCTGGGCGATGGCCGAGGGGGAAACTTTGGCGGCTTCGGTGAGGCATTCGCCGATATGCTTACGAGGACCTTCCACGCGAACGTTCACGCCATCGACCCAAGACTTAGCGACCAGCCCGCGAGGGAAACAGGAACGATGGGCAGAGTCGAGGGCGGGGCAGAGGAACGCGGCCGCCCCATTCTTAGCGTCACGGCAACGGGCCGTGGCACCAAGGGCGGGGCTGCTGGGGTCACTGACTGCGGATCTGTCCCTGCGGGTCCTGGGCCCGAGATGGAGCTGGCCAGACAGGGCCCTCGATGACCAGAGCAGAGTGCGCCGTAGAGTTTCCGGGCTTCAGACAAGAAGCTGCCATGCGCAGTGTGTAGGGCATCTGCCGCCTCGTCGCTGAAGTGGCGAGCGACCGCCGCCCTCGAGGCACTGCCCCCTCGGACAGCTTCATCCCGTAGCCCCGCCTGCCCGTCCACCCGCTCCCTCGACGCGTCATCTCTGGGCGGGCTCCAGCGGCGGGGCAGCCAACTCAAGAAGGCAGCGGCCCGCTGGCCGCCCGCATCCTCCGGAGTCAGACCTGCAATAGCGGGCGGCACTTGCCGCGGTCATGACAGGTCCTTCTCCGTTCGGTTCAAGATCTTCAAGCAGCTCGGTCTGGCCCTGAGACCCAAGCTCCTGGATGTCCCTGGGCCCGAGGTTCTCAATCCCACGCCCCGTCTGGACAGGGATCTGCCGCAGCCCCGCCTGGAGCTTCTCAAGGGTAAAATCCGAACGCGTTCCATTCTGGGCCATCTTGCGGCCGCGTTCAAAAGCTGAGACCCTTCCCAGGCGCGGTCTGCATCGGGAGCGGTCCATCTAGCAAGCCAGAGTGACCTGCTGTGGTCCATGATTTCCCTGGGTGTGCTGGCTACACCTGACTCGAGAAGCAGCTCAGACTGAACATTCTGCGGGGGCTTGGAGTAGCGATGCAACTTACCTTCCTTCTGGGAGGGCCTCTGCGACCCAATTTTTAAGCTAGGCGTGATAAGCACGAGCAGAGGCCTGCTTAGCATGGGTAGCATTGGCACGCACAGTCTCTCTGAGGGTCTTTCATTGATAAGGATCAAGTTATTAGGGCTCCGAAGCCAAATCTCCCAATAAACGAAGGCCTCAGGGGCCAGGGCCAACGTGGGCCCAGAAGGAATCGAGAACGCCCGCGCCTTCAGCTGGTGTTTGGCTTCGAGGCCCTTGGGGTGGCCCGTCTCCCAGAATCCACTGGGCAGGCCGACGACTTCCCTGCGGCGGCGAGATTCGCAAGCTCAGCCCACCTCGTGGCGACAGGGTCTACACGTCGGGATGGTCGGTCTTTCCGAGTCGTGCGCGTGATGAGTGGGGCTGGCGTGCAGGCTCTATCCTTAAACGCAGTCTGCTGATCAGATGGAATGCCGTAGAGTTTCACATCGAACTTTTCGAGGCGTTCGACCCAGCTCGAGAAGATACGCCCGAGGGCGGGCGATTGGGTCGAGAGCTTAAGAACTTGAGACCCCAGGAGTCCCGAATGTAGGCAGGGATCGCAGGCGGCTGGGCCTCAGGGATCAGCAGCTCGCTCCAGATGGCGACCTTCTCCGCGTCCGAGTAGCACCTGGCTGCAACCTTCTCTGCAGCTTCCTGGGGGGGGGAGCGGGAGGCCTCCCCATTCGCGATGCTCCTCAGCAGGGTCCTCAGCTCCCTGTGCTCGGCTGTAGATGCCGGGCTCTTCGAAGGCCTCCGTGTCCATGAGGAACTCATCATCGCTGTCCCGCACCGCTGCCCTGGTCGAAGTTGGCGGTCCCCCTCCTTAGTTCAGGCCACCTCTCCTTCCAAGGGCTGCCGCAGAAGCCACGCCAGGCGGCAACCCGAGATCCTCAGGGCAGGCCGGCTCGAGGACAGGGGCAATCGCAGATGCCGAAGACGAAGCTGAGCTTGTGCCAGAGGCCGCCGTGCAAGCAGGATCCGCTCCCATGGTCGAGCGGACCCAATCCGCATCCTGCGGTGGAAGTCCCTTGCCAAAACGCTGGACAGGCTGGAGAGGTGCCACGTCATCGGATGTGTCCAAAGTAGCCGTCCGCCGAAGTGTAGATCCATGCTCATTCCTCTCTGCCTTCCTGCGGCTTCGCTTACTATCAGCATCGGGTCCACGCTTGGGCCGAGGAGGGTGCAGGAAGCGACGAGGCAACTGAACGGTACGTATCTGGGATAGCATAGTATTGACATGAACTTTTAACCACATATACCTTTGTGATCACCATTGGCATCGTCAGCGTAGCACTCGAAATTAAGTTCGGCAGCCTGGTCGGAGATGTGCAGGACACCCAACGTAATGTAGGGCGCACGATTGCAAGTCCATGTCGTATTTGAAGGGGTACGGACGGTTCCACCGAGCAGTTCGGGCCTCTTTGACTGCATCAAGACTGCGGGCGAGACGTTCCAATCCGCGGCGATAACCCATGGCATCCTCGTGAGCAGCAGGAACGCCCCGAGGTTGGTCAATTTCTCAGCATTGATACCCGCAAGCTTGAAGCCAGGAGTGAGATACAGATAAATGAAGATGAAATCAATACCTCCTGTGAGCTCAATCGACACTGGAGCGACGTCCCAGAAGTCGACGGGACCACCGCCTGATAGCTGACCCTCGAGGCATCCCAACCCTTCTTGCTGGTCTGTGGCCCTGCGCAGGTCCTTGAACTAATGACTCTTGATGTGTCGTCTGATGCCCGTGACGATTCCACCAGAACGTTTGACATCACTTTGTGCCCTTGGCGGGCAGACAACAGCTTTCCAACCATGCTTGTGGATATGGTTGATAATCAACGAATAATCCTCATAGTGTGTCTCGGCGAATCCCGTACGTCGGCACCGTTCACTCCATCCTTGACGTCGTTGAGAGTGCCACTTCCCCGCGCCGTGATGCTGCGACAACAGAAGGAAATCGGTCGATCCTCGGAAGCCTTCCGTTGGCCTCAGCTCCTCTGGCGCCGTGCACCGCCGCCCTCCCAGGGGGGGGATGCCCGGAGGCCCCTTGAGGAAGCCCCCCTCGGGATGCCGAGGGTCAGGCGGCGCACGGCTAGGACGACGCAGGTGTTGGCTCCGCCGCTGCCCGCCTCGCTGCCGCCTCCTGCTCGAAGGCCTTCCCCCTTGCAGCAGGCTGCCGGGGTGGGTCCTCCGACGACGAACCCGGCGAGGCCGAAGCGGAAGAGCCCGCTGGCGGCGCCCCGGCTCGATTCTGTGCGGCGGGTTGTTCCCCAGGTGCGGCGCCCTCCTGGGGCTTCCTCTTCTTGCCAAGGCGAGGGCGTTGTGCTTCATGCTCCTCCCTGGCCTTGGCGCACTTGCTGGCTGCCTCCGAGACGAGAGACTTGGCCGCGGTCTGGAGTCGGGTGACGAGGCTGAGCTTCGTGGGCCTCTCTGCGCTCCTGGGCCTGCTTGAGCTCCCATTCGTCGATGTCCGTGCCCCCCCGAGGTTGAACACGTCGCCGAAGTCGATGGCGAAGCCATCCAGGGTGCCTTTCACGAGCGCGCGGAGGGACAGCTTCGGCTTGGATTGCTCTGGCCCAGGCTGCGGCCCAGGGCCGGAACTCGCGACCTCAACCGCCAAGAGGTCGTAGTCTGACTGGAGCTCCTCAAGCTTGCCTTTGACACCCTCGATGTTTTCCTAGTGGGCGTCGACGTCACGTCCATGGCCTTCTTGAGGTTGCCCCGCTGCTGGTCCAGGGCTCCCCTGGATGCTGCCAGCCGCTGTTCGATGGGTGGCGGCGGAGGCGGCATTTTGTTGATTTCCTTGAGCTGTTTGCCGCATAGGGACCCAAGGTTCGTGTTGCCAATCTGTTCGAAGTATCTCGCAGCCGAATGAGCTCCTCTTTGTCGAGGGTGTAGACGTCAAACTGGGTGTCCTGGTTGTCACGTTCCTCATCGTTGAATGGCGGTGGTCCCCTGGCTCAACGCGAGTCAGGGGCTGGTGCACTGAAACTGTAGCTTGCACCAACGGTAGGTGCTGGGATTCTTGCCGCACCCGCACGCCGTGCACTTCCACAAAGGCCCTGTGTGTGCGTCCATGGACGACGCACCCAACAGCCACCCCCCAGGAGCAACCTTATCAGCAAGCGAACGAGGCTGATTGGTGACCATCTGCTTGACGTAACAGACAGCGTATTGAAGGCAGTGTGCGGCAAGCCTCAATACAGTACACAGAGCGTGTCTATATATATATATATATGTATATATAAGCAGATGGGGCCGCTGTTCCCCAGTGCCAACTCAAATCCTCTGAGCCTTCCGCTACGGATTTGAGAGCCAAAATGGCTACGGACTAGGAAGGAGGAGGAGCAGCAGCACAAGAAGCAGAAGGAGTAGGAGGAGCAGGAGGAAGAGGAAGAGAAAGAGGAGGAGGAGGCGGAGGAGGAGGGGGGAAGGCGGAAGGAGAAAGGCGAAAGGAGAAAAGAGGGAGGGGCTGATAAGGACGCAGGCAGGAGGGACACGTCCTTGACTGGGAGCCCAGATTATGCCGTGGTTGGCGGCCAGGGCACTCGAGCTCTTCGACGAGATGGTGCGGGAGGGCGTGGAGCCTACCGTGGTCACGTACAACGCGCTTATCAGCGCATGCGGCAACGGGCAGGACGGCTTTGGCTCATATTTTCCCCCTCGCTGGCCAGAGCGCTGTTTGGGAGGATCAGGCGGAAACATGTTCACGCTCAGCACGACAACGCATTTACAACTCGAAGCCACCACTGCCAGGGATGTTGCCGCACGTGGTTTCGGGCTTCAGCATGGCCAGCAAACAAACGGTACGGTACCAGCTGTGTCCTGGTTTCTGGTGAGCCACCTCTGGGGAATACTCCCCATCGTGCGGTGCTCACAGCCTCCTGAGCTGACAAGTAGCACCCATACTTATGGGATCCCCGGATTTCTTGGGGTGGACTTCCAGGGTGGGGGGCTACGGGTGTATGGGTGCGCGTTGTCGGATGGGGGCCCCCGCTCGCATGGGAGCCCCCCCCGGGGTCCGACGACTCGCACCTATACCTGAAGCGCCTTCGTTGCCTTGCCCTCCCCCACTCCTCCGAGAGGTCTCGAGCGCGTGCGGCTCTCTCATGGCAGCCGTGGCTGCTTGACATCGGGCACGGGGGCGGTGCGGCGCCTGCAGGGGGAGGCGCGCCGGAGATGACCTGAGCGCGCCGGGGAGCGTGCGGGCTGGAGGGCAGGAGGCCGCCCGCCCTCCCCGCTCCCGCCCGCGGTCACCGAGGGGTGTGGCGGAGTGGGTGCGGGCCTTCGCTGGAGCTCCCCCTTTGGGGCCACGCAGCGCGGGAGCGGCATGTCGGAGGGGGCGCAGGGTCACGCCTGGCGGGCGCCGGCAGTGGGGCCGTCGGTGGAGTTCCCCCCGGGGGCCAGGAGGCGTGTCCGGGGTGCGCTTGGCCGGACGTGGGCTGGGGGAGCAGGCAGAGCACCGATGCCGCGACTCCACGGACTCCTCCCGGGGTGCGGTCTTGCCAGGGCTTCGAGGCCAATCCAGCCGCGGCGATGAGGGTCGGGGAGGGTATGGGTACCTTCTCCTTCTCCGAGTCTCGGCCCTTCGAGGGCTCTCCTCTCGGCGGCGGGGGGTCGATTTCAGAGCCGGGCGCGCCGAGGGAGGGTCTTGCCCAGATCGGCGTCGGTGATGAACTGGTCCGTGCCCCGCCGTGCCTTGTGGCCCTGCGAGCACCTCCCTTCCGCTGTGTCCTCTGGAGGCCGCGTCGGTGGTCCGCTGGCCCGTGGCGTCTTCGTGCCTCGTGTGTTGCGCCCCTCCCCCTCCCCCCCCCCTGGCAGGCTGGCTGCCCTCGATTCCTGGAAGTGTCCCGTGCCACTTGCAGGCGGCCGAGGGGTCTGAACTGGAGGGGCCCCGAGAGAATCTGTCAAGAAGAGGAGGAGGAAGAAGGCGAATATGAATAAGAACAACAATACGAATGATAATATTGGTGCCAGTACTAGTGCTACTACTATGCTTACTACTACTAGTTTTCATAAGTATAATAGTATGGTGCACACTACTAGGACTGCTAACAACCACAAAATTGAGGAGAATCCGAAAGGACAACGAACCATACGAACAATAATACTAGTATCACTCATAATGGAACCAATAATTCAGAAACGAACAATTCGAACAATAGCAATATTAATAGTAGTAGTAGCAATATTATTGATAGGAACAGTACTACGAATATTGATCATATAATATTTCATGCTACTAAGAGTCTTCTTAGGAACGACAATAATGTGAAGAGTAATGCTGTTACTACTAACACGGAAAATAATACCATGGCTCGATACAATATTGAGATCAATAATAGTAGTAGGAATATTCAGAAGACGGGTAATGATAAACATGCAAATCAACATCTAAGAACACTACTACGAACAAGTCGCATAATGATAATACTAGTACGAAGAAGAGTAACAATAATCATACTAATATGATTAAGACAGTATTGAGAAGATGAGTCACCATACTAGTACGAAGAAGAAAAACGAAGCATACACATAAAAGCAATAAAGCGAATCACCATACTAATACAACTACGATCCGTACTAACTTGAAGACGAGTAAGAGTACTAACGAGACGAATAATCACAACAATCATAATCACAACAATAATATTAATATTGCTAGTGCTAATACAAGTAAGAACGTAAACATAGTGATAACAATACGATTGATCATACTAGTAAGCGTACGAGGGATATGACACAGTCGTAGTAATAACACGGTCATTACTTTTATGGGTATTTTGAATTCAAATTATTTGAAGTGGTTTTATTCATACCATCATTGAAAATAACACTACTACTAATATGAATACAACGGATCATTATGGTAGTAAGACTAGAAATAACGCTGAGACGGATACTAACAATTGTAATCATACTAGTATTAGCATGCCAAGAATACGATTAGTAATATTATTGGTAGTAATAGTGTTAGGAACAACAAGAATACTAATACTGATTTAATCGTTTTTGTACTGATAATCGTAATCAACAGAAGAAGAAAAACCAGAGGAGGGGGAAGATGAGGAGGCTTAGGGCTCCTCAAGAGAAGGTTCCTCGGGAGGCGGGGGGGGGTGGGGCTCTGAGCCGCGGCGCCACCGTTTCTCTCTCTCTCTCTCTCTCTGTCTTTCTCGCTCTCGCTCTATCTCTCACAGATGCCCGAGAAGGCCCTGGAGAAGTGCGTGGAGATGCAGGGGAGAGGCGGCCAGTCAGCCTCCATGATGATGGTGATTAATGAGGCTGCTGCTGCTGATGATGATGATGATGATGATGCTGATGCTGCTGACGATGATGGTGATGATGATTATCATCATGATGACGATGATGACGATGCTGCTGATGATGAGTGATTGATAATGAAGGTGATTGATGCTGCTTCTGATGATGATGGTGATGATGGTGATTGATAATGCTGTTGATCGAGGCTGGTGATTGTGATTATGATGAGAATGATGCTGACTGATAATGATTGTGGTAGATGATGGCGCTGTTGCTGATGATTACGATGATGACGATGACGATGATGATGCTGATGACGTTAATGATGGCAATGATGATGACGATGATGATGATTGTGATGATGCTGGTGATGATGATGATGATGATGATGATGATGATGATGATGGTGCTGGATACTGATGGTAATGATGATGATGATGATGATGAAGGTGATGCTGATTGATAAGCGATGGTGATTGACGGTGATGCTTCTGATCATGATGATGGTGGTGGTGATGATGATGGTGCTTGATAGTGATGGTGATTGATGATGATGATGCTAATGCTGATGATGATGTTGATGATGACGATGATGATACTGACGATGCTGATGATGCTGATGATGATGCTGGTGATGAGGAGGATGATGACGATCATGATGATGCTGCTTTCGATGATAATCATGCTGCTGATGCTAGTGCTGCAAATGCTGCCCTATATTGCGACGACGCTGATGATGCTGATGATGATCGGTAATGCTGGTGATTGATGGTGATGATGATGATGATGGCGATGGTGGTGATGGTGATGGTGATGGTGATGGTGATGGTGATGGTGATGAAGATGATGATGATGATGATGATGATTGATGATGATGATGATGATGATGATGATGATGATGATGATGATGATGATGATGATGATGTTGATGCTGATGATGATGCTGATGCTGATGATGATTATGATGATGATGATGATGATGATGATGATGATGATGATGATGATGATGATGATGATGATGATGATGATGATGATGCCTTTGATGGTCATTGATAATGAATGTTATTGATGGTGGTGATGATGATGGTGATGGCAGTGATGGTGATGGTGATGATGGTGGTGATGTTGATGGTGGTGAAGATGGTGATTGTGGTGATGATGACGGTGGTTGCGGTAGCGATTACGATTCTTGGGTTTACGCCGCACCGCCGACCCCTTGGGGGGGTTCCTGGTAGGTCTCTCGGGGGCCTCCTGGCAGCATTTTGGAGGCTTTTTGGGGGCCGTCTTGGGGCCTCTTTTGGTCCTTTGGTGGGCCTCTTGGAGCCTCTTGGGGGCTTCTTGGAGGCCTCTTGGGGCCTCCTGGAGGCTTCCTGGAACCGAGGGCTCGAAATTTCCGTTCGGGTCCCCCGCCTGGGCCACCTTCTGGAGCCGTTTTGGGGGCCTCTTGGGCCGTCTTGGGGCCCTCTTGGGCCGTCTTGGAGCCTCCTTGGGGGCTTCCTGGGCCGTCTTGGGGCGATCTTGGATGTCTCTTAGGCCGTTTTGGACGTTGTGAAAGCCCAAGTGGCGAATGCACTAGAATCATACGCTTCCCTTAGGGAAGAGGACGATTTTTGCTTCTGGGGGCCCTCTTGGGACGCCTCTTGGGGGCCTCTTGGGGCGTCTCGGGGGCTTCTTGGGCGTCTGGGGGCCATCTTGGGAGTCTTGGAACGATCCATCGGCGACTCGGGGCCCTTCTAGACCATCTCGTGGGCCTCTTGGGGCCCTCATGGCCCGTCGTGAGGCCCGTGATGCGTTCGCCCGGGGCCGGCCGGACCCGCCCTCCCCCCTCCAAAACGACCGGACCGGGCCCCTGGGGGAGGGGTTTGGGGAGGGGGAAGCATCTCACACGCCGATGACCCCAAGGGGTCGGCGGATTGTGATAATGCTGCTGATGATGATGATGCTGATGATGATGGTGGTCGTGGTGGTGGTGGCGGCGTTGATGACGATGATGGTGATTGATGATGGTGGTTCTCATGATGGTGGTGATGATGATGATGATGATGATGATGATGATGATGACGATGATGATGATGATGATGATGATGATGATGATGATGATGATGATGATGATGATGATGATGATGATGATGATGATGACGATGATGATGAGGAGGATGATGATGATGATGGCAATGAGGAGGAGGATGACGATGATGATGATGATGATGGTGGTGGTGGTGATGATGATGATGATGATGATGATGATGATGATGATGATGATGATGATGATGATGATGATGATGATGATGATGATGATGATGATATCGATGGTGGTGGTGATTTTGTAGCGGTGGTCCTGCAGATCCAGCGCCGCCGGGCTGGCGGCCAGTACTATCTCTCGCACTCGCTAGCCAACTTCCGTCTACAGGCCGCAAACAGCAACGCATTCTTCGCTAGACCTGGGCGCCGACCGAGACAACGACATCCGATCGCTGAGGGGACTTCCGTCGGAAACTGCATGTTGCACAGAGGGCGAAATCACAGCTGCTGCACGCCCAGAATGGCGTTACTAGGGAACATCGCCTGTCCACAATCATTGCACTCCCACTCATAACCGACCCAAGGGACATGGGCGAAACGCTCGCACTGGCAAGCTCTCACTAAATTGCTGCCACGGCCTATGAAGAGGCGGTCCAGAGACCGAGAAGTCGGCAGCTGGCCGCTCACCCTACCCAGGACGCCCTCCCAACCAGAACAATTGTTCGACCTGTCCTCTCGCGCCGCCGCCTCGAGGAGGTCGACCTCGCTCAGCGCTCGAAGATAATGTCTCGCCGAATTTCCTCGCTCAGCCTCGGCCCTGTCTTCACCTCCGAGGGCTGCCATGCCCACCAGGCCCGCGGGGTCGTCCGCCACGTCTTCGTCCGCGGTGCCCGCGGTCTCGGCCTTGGGCGGGCTCCTGCGCGGTCACCGCGGCACACACCAGCAGCTTCTCCTCGACCTTCAGGGCCTTCCCATGCTTTCTCCTGAACTCCCCCATGCTCGCGCCGCATTCGGACGGGTCGCCCGCCCCTCCGACGAAGACCAGGTCGAAGTCGGCGCACTTCCTGTCGCCGTCGGCGCTCGGGGTGCGCTGCACCGACGGCGACTCCACGGGGCTCTCCGCGTCCGCGCACTCCCCGCCATCTCCCGCCTGCGCAGCCTCAGCGCCCCATGCCGTGGGGTCTTGGGCGGGGGGCGCACCCTGAGCACCCGCCTTCTGGTCCAAGCAGGGCCCGCGCTCTGCCCGCCTGAGGGCGGCGCAGCTGGCGGTACTGAGCGGGTGTGGCGCCTTCCTGGCATGCAGCACCACGTTCCTCCGCAGCGCACCAACAGCGAGTCATCTGGCTGGATCCTGCCAAGCCGACTCTCCAGCACCAGGACGACGGCCAGAATCCTGTCGATAAGCCCTGCGTCGACGAACACCTTGCCGAGGACGTCGCACCTGGTCTCTCAGAAGTCCACCTGCTTCCGCAACTCCTGGACGTGCGCCTCGCGTGAGGCTTTGGCCTACCTCTTCTGGGTGCATCCGCTTCTGCCGCCGACTCGGCGGTACCCTGCGCCATTACAGCACCAGCGGTGGCCCCATGCACCATCGCGAGCAGGCTTGCTTGAGCAACAGGGGTGTCGCTCGCTAGTGAGCGGCATGAGCCACAATGGTTACGGATAATGAAGGTGATGATGATGATGCTGATGATGATGATGATGATGATGATGAGGATGATGATGCTCATGCTGATGCTGATGCTGATGCTGATGCTGATGCTGATGATGCTGCTGCTGATGATGATGATGATGATGGTGGTTACGGTGGTGCTGACGGTGATGTGGGTGATGATGGTGGTGGTGGTGGTGGTTATGAGATGCTGTATATAATGAATGTGATGATGGTGGTGATTCTGATGGTGGTTGTGGTGGTGATGGTGATGATGTAGGTGATGATGCTGATGCTGCTGCTGATGATGACGATACTTTTGCTGATTACGATGGTCACGATGCTGATTCTGATGATGATGCTGTTGATGATGATGATGCTGATGATGATGATGCTGACGGGAATGCCAGTGATGGTGATGATGATGCTGATTATGATGATGATGACGCTGACGATGATGATGATGATGATGATGATGATGATGATGATGATGATGATGACGATGATGATGATGATGATGATGATGTCGATGACGATGATGCCGATGATGATGATGCTGATGATGACGATGCTTCTGCTGATGATGATGCTGATGCTGATACTGATTCTGGCGCTGATGCTGATGGTGACGGTGATGGTGATGGCGATCGTGATGGTGATGATGGTGATGAGGATGAGGATGATCATGATGACGAGGATGCGATTGATGATGGTGATGGTGATGATGATGATGATGCTGATGATGAATACTATTGTGAATGATGGTGATGCTGCTGACGATGCTTCTGCTGATTATGATAGTCACGATGATGAGGACGATGACCATGAGGACGATGATGATGATGATGGCGATGATGCTGATGCTGCCGATACTTCTGCTGATTACGATGGTCACGATGATGATTCTGATGATGATGCTGATGTTGCTGATGATGATGAATAGTATGATCATGCTGCTGATGATGATGACGATGATGATGATTTTGATGATGCTGACGATGATGATTTTGATGATGCTAATGATGATGATGATGATGATGATGATGATGATGATGGTGGTGGTGGTGGTGGTGGTGGTGGTGATGATGATGATGATGATGGTGCTTTTGGTGGTGGTGATGATGGTAATGGTGGTGGTGGTGGGGGTGGTGGTGCTTTGGCAGATCGGACCCCCCTCGTCCCCGTCCTCGTCCTCGTCCTCGTCCCCGTCCCCGTCCCCGTCTCTGTCGTCGTCGTCGTTGTTGTCGTCGTCGTAGTCGTCGTCGTCGTCGTCGTCGTCGTCGTCGTCATCGTCGTCCGTCGTCGGCGT